TTACTTTTATTATGATGAGAACTTTAAAGATCTATTCTCTTAGCAACTCTAAATACATAATACAGTATTGTTAACTACATGTATGCTGTACATTACATCCCCAGGACTTACGTATTTTATAATTATACTTCTTTGACCCATTTTGTTCCCCGGCCCCCACTTCTGGCAATCATCTGTTCTCTGTATCTATGAGTTTGCAGAAATCAAATTTCTGATTATCGAGTAAATTTATTTTCTAAGGGCTATAGAGTCAGTCAAGCACAATATCCACAAATAAAAATAAAGAATGTGTAATGCTCTGGATCTTAGACTTAGTAAGAATAGATGTTCTGGATCTTTGACCTAGTAAGAATAGAATGCTAGATTTCTAATTTAAAAAAAATAGATATGCAACAAACAACAAAGGTTTACTGTATAGCACAGAGAACTATAGTCAATATCTTATAATAACCCGTAATGGAAAATAATCTGAAAAAATAATATATGTTCAACCAAATCACGTTGAAGCATTGTAAGTCAACTATACTTAAATAAAATATATACATTAAGGGAAAAAAACTGAAAAAAAGAAAAGAAAAGGTTGAGAAGCACCCGTTTTGACCAACCTCCTTATCTCACAGATAGGAAAACAGGTTATGTGATGTCAGGTGACAGCTGTTTTGTGGGCGAAACTGTGTCTAGAATGCAGGCCTCCTGGCCACGTGTCAGCAATTGGTCCGTGGCCCCAGAGCTGCCATCCCTACCTGGAAACCCTCCCGGTGACAGATCAAATTTCTTAAGTATTCAGACAAAGGTAAGGAGCAAGAAAGAGTGGTGGAAGCTAGAGGGAGGGAAAATTTTTGTTCTGCATAACAAAAAAACTTCTAAACAACAGGTGGAACTGTTCAACCAGAGAAAATGTTTGGGAGTGTTTGAAATCGTAAAAAAAAAAATGTACAGTACGTCCAGGCAGAGGCTGGATGGCTGCCCTTGACAGTCTCCTGCGGTCCTTTTCAGACTTCCAGCGTGGAGAGCGTTCGCGCGTCCGCGTCCTCATCAGACTGTTCCTGGGGCGCAGAGCTTCGCGCTCCTCGTTAGCAAGCCTGCGTCGAGCAGAGAAGGTGGAGCGCGGTTTCTCGCCTGTTCGCCTTTCCCACTGCTGACCACTTGGGGGCGCACGAGCCTCCCTGTGACCCGAGGCGGGACCGCGACCGCGGACCGCGGGCTGCAGGGACGCGGGCAGACGGCGAAGACCGGGGCGCGGCGAGGGTGCCAGCCGGCCTCCCGCCGCAGACCGCCGCCACGGGAGGCCAGCACGGAGGGCGCACCGAGACCGCACCGGAGGCTGAATTCTGCTAGGATTACGAAGAAAACCAAGTTTTAAAATACGGATACTTTAAAAAGCCTTTACAGAATTGGTTACAATACTGCTCCTCTTTCATGTTTTGGTCGCTCGGTTCCAGAGCGGGGATGGAACCCACACTGCACGCCCCCACCCCCATGGAAAGGGGAAGTCTTAGCCACAGGAGGGAAACCCCAGAGCCAGGAAAATATTCACAGCATTTAATCTGGATGCAAAGCGCAGATTCCTTCCCTGAATGGAGAATTGACCCTTCGCCACCGCCCGTCCCATTTTTTGAGCTCCACCCTTAATCTGCGGGACGTACCGTTTGTTCCCAAGTAGGAAGGCGGACAGGGAAGAGGAAAGAAAGTGGAGGTGTGGAGGCGCGGGGGGGAAGACGGAGGGGCAGAGGGAAAACACGCCCAGATTTCGGAAGGGAATACCGGCCGGGCAAGACTGAGGGCGGGAGGAGACGGGGGCGACAGAGGACGAGATGGTGGGACGGCATCACCGACGCGATGGACAGGAGCCTGAGTAAACTCCGGGAGTTGGTGATGGACAGGGAGGCCTGGCGTGCTGTGGTTCATGGGGTCGCAGAGAGTCGGACACGGCTGAGCGACTGAGCTGAACTGAGCCACTTGGGGAAATCAGATAGGAAATAACAGCTTAAGGTTTCCAGCACAAACACCTTCCTCTTACACGTCTGCTCCACAGGAGACGACGACTCAGCCGTTCCTCCTCTGGCAACAGGCCTTACAGCAAACTGGAAAGCTGTAATATCTCCGATTCATCCCCTCGAGAAGCAGTAACTTTGCAAAGGCGTCCACACGGTGAGTGGCAGGTGTCCTGACTGCACCACTGAACTGCGTACATTTCTCTGACGGATCCCCATGGCCGACATCATAAAATCCAAATTCTTCGTCCCAGCCCACCCCACCCTGCCTCACCTCCAGGAATTTCCATGAAGAACAGTCTTTCAGCTCCAACCCGCAGTTCCTGGACCATACACATTCCTTTACTTGGAATGCCCTTTCTCCAGCAGAATTAGTAGCTCCCTCTCCCACCTGTTGGGAGGCTTCCCAGTTGGCGCTAGTGGTAAAGAACTCGCTTGCCGACGCAGAAGACACAAGAGATGCACGTTCAGTCCCCGCGTCAGGAAGATCCCTCAGAGAAGGGTATGGCAACCCACACCAGTATTCTTGCCTGGAGAATGCCAAGGACAGAGGAGCCTGGTGGGCTACAGCCCATGGGGCCGCAAAGAGTTGAAAACGACTGAAGTGACTGGTTGGAAGAGGGTGTTTGCTATGACCAGTGCATTCTCTTGGCAGAACTCTATTAGCCTTTGCCCTGCTTCATTCTGTACTCCAAGGCCAAATTTGCCTGTTACTACAGGTATTTCTTGACTTCCTATTTTTGCATTCCAGTCCCCTATAATGAAAAGGACATCCTTTTTGGGTGTTAGCTCTAGAAGGTCTTGTAGCTCTTCATAGAACTGTTCAACTTCAGCTTCTTCAGCGTTACTGGTCGGGGCATAGACTTGCATTACTGTGATATTGAATGGTTTGCTTTGGAAATGAACAGAGATCATTCTGTCGTTTTTCAGATTGTACCCAAGTACTGCATTTTGGACTCTTTTGTGGACTATGATGGCTACTCCATTTCTTCTAAGGGATTCTTGCCCACAGTAGTAGATGTAATGGCCATCTGAGTTAAATTCACCCATTCCAGTCCATTTTAGTTCTCTGATTCCTATAATGGTCATCTGAGTTAAAATCACCCATTCTAGCCCATTTTAGTTCTCTGATTCCTGAAATGTCAATGTTCACTCCTGCCATCACCTGTTTGACCACTTCCAATTTACCTTGATTCATGGACCTAACATTCCAGGTTCCTATGCAATATTGCCCTTTACAGCATCGGACTTTACTTCCATCACCAGTCACATCCACAACTGGGTGTTGTTTTTGCTTTGGCTCCATCTCTTCATTCTTTCTGGAGTTATTTCTCAGCTGATATGAACAAAGCTAGTGGACGTGATAGAATTCCAGTTGAGCTATTTCAAATCCTAAAAGATGATGCTGTGAAAGTGCTGCACTCAATATGCCAGCAAACTTGGAAGACTCAGCAGTGGCCACAGGACAGGAAAAGGTCAGTTTTCTTTCCAATCCCAAAGAAAGGCAGTGCCAAAGAATGCTTAAACTACCCCACAATTGCACTCATCTCACACACTAGCAAAGTAATGCTCAAAATCCTCCGAGCCAGTCTTCAACAGTACCTGAACTGTGAACTTCCAGATGTTCAAGCTGGATTTAGAAAAGACAGAGGAACCCGAGATCAAATTGCCAACATCTGTTGGATCATTGAGAAAGCAAGAGAGTTCCAGAAAAACATCTACTTCTGCTTTATTGACTACACCAAAGCCTTTCACTGTGTGGATCCAACAAAATATGGAAAATTTTGAAAGAGATGGGAATACCAGACCACCTGACCTGCCTCCTGAGAAATCTGTATGCAGGTCAGGAAGCAACAGTTAGAACTAGACATGGAACAACAGCTGGTTCCAAATTAGGAAAGGAGTACGTCAAGGCTGTATATTGTCACCCTGCTTATTTAACTTATATGCAGAGTACATCATGAGAAATGCTGGGCGGGATGAATCACAAGCTGGAATCAAGGTTGCCGGGAGAAACATCAATAACCTCAGATATGCAGATGACAGCACCCTTATGGCAGAAAGTGAAGAAGAACTAAAGAGCCTCTTGATGAAAGTGAAAGAGGAGAGTGAAAAAGTTGGCTTAATACTCAACATTCAGAAAACTAAGATCATGGCATCCGGTCCCATCACTTCTTGGCAAATAGATGGGGAAACAGTGCAAACAGTGGCTGACTTTATTTTTGGGGGCTCCAAAATCACTGCAGATGGTGATCGCAGCCATGAAATTAAAAGACACTTACTCCTTGGAAGGAAAGTTATGACCAATTTAGACAGCATATTAAAAAGCAGAGACATTACTTTGCCAACAAAGGTCCGTCTAGTCAAGGCTATGGTTTTTCCAGTAGTCGTGTATGGATGTGAGAGTTGGACTATAAAGAAAGCTGAGCAGTGAAGAACTGATGCTTTTGAACTGTGGTGTTGGAGAAGACTCTTGAGAGTCCCTTGGACTGCAAGGAGATCCAACCAGTCCATCCTAAAGGAGATCAGTCCTGAATGTTCATTCGAAGGACTGATGTTGAAAGCTGAAACTCCAATACTTTGGCCACCTGATGTGAAGAACTGACTCATTGTAAAAGACCCTGATGCTGGGAAAGCTTGAAGGCAGGAGGAGAAGGAGACGACTGAGGATGAGATGGTTGGATGGCATCACCGACTCGATGGACATGAGTTTGAGTAAACTCCAGGAGTTGGTGACGGACAGGGAAACCCTGCGTGCTGCAGTCGATGGGGTCGCAGAGAGTCGGACACGACTGAGCGCCTGCACCGAGGCGGGCCCGCCCCTCGGCCCGGGCGCGGGCCCTTTAAGGGCGGGGCGCGGCCCAGGTGAGGGCGGGCCGCCGGTCGGAGCCGCGCCCCCGGAGCCGCGTCGGGAGCGCGGGCGGGCCTGCGGGGCCGCGGACGCTCCTCTTCGCCCAGCCGCCGCCTCTTCCGGCCGCTCACCTGGGCCCCGGCCCCGGCACCAGGATGAAGGACCGGCTGGAGCAGCTGAAGGCCGTGAGTCCGGGGGCGGGCGGGGTCTTCCTCTGGCCCCGGGTACGGGCCTGCGCTCCCCGAGCCGGACGCACGGAGCCCCCGTCCTCGGGTCGCCTGCCGCCGATGCGTCGCCAGGCTGCGCTCTCCCTGGACGCCGCCCCCCCCTCCCCCCACCCCGCACGGCTGGACGGCGTCTGTCGAGAGCTGGGGTCCGCAGGGGCGTCCAGAGGGACTCTCCGTGAAGGTCGGGGGCGCGCACCGCCTGCCCGCCGCTGCCGGACGCTGCGCCCGGACCCACCTCCTCCGGGCGCCCCCTAGTCTCTCTCCCCTTGGGGGGCGCTGAGCCCGCTGCTCTCGCCCTCGAGAGAGCAGCTCCCGTGGGCGACCGCCTGACCGTGAACTGATCTGGTCCAGCGGATGTTCAGCGCCTCGGCATCCAGCTGTCTGTAATTATTAATCCCCCCGCCCGCGCCCCCCATCCTTGGGACGGCTGTGATCGGGCCCAAGGATCTGAAGGGAGTCCGCTTCCAGCCCTGCTGCGTAAAATCGGTGAAACCTTCGGCAACCTACTGTTTTGAACTTGTTTCCTTATCTATGGAAGGCAGGTTAATGGTACCCTAGAGATTTGTGTTGAGATCGGATGATGTAATCGGGCTTAGTATAGAGAAGGGGTAAAGCATGGGTATTTACGTGCAGTATTCATTGACTCATTGAATAAATAATTACTGAGTGTTCTCTATGGATTGGGTCACTCAGGCTCTGTCTTAGGGGAATTTAAGATCTAGCCCCTGATGCAACGTCGTCCCATCTACTTGGGAGTTTGTCAGAGGCGCGGCCGCTTAGGCCTCCCTCCAGAGCAAGGGAATCAGAATCTGATTATCCATAAATCTCTCCAGGTGATCGTGCGCACACTGAAGTCTGAGCAACAGGGGTCTGGATAGAGCTGGGGTTGCGTCCCTGCTCCACTGCTTACCAGCTGTGCCCGTGACCTTGGAGCCTAAGTTTTGTCATCTGTAAAATGGGTAGTCCTCAGGACTAAACCCAAGAGAGCAGGCACAGCCCTTTGTATGGTGCGTGGCGCACCCGGGACTAAGCCTGGTGAATCTCACACTAGTCACTGTAAAATCTCTTCGGAAAAATGAAGCCTTGGGCAAGCGTGAAGGAGTGCTGGGCTGCTGTCACAGTTGTTTTCTTTCCCCGCCCTTGTCTGAGCTGAGACCTTCCTGACCCTTTCACCCGCTCCTAATAGGACTGCGTTGGAGGCAGGGGAGGGGATGTGACCGAGGCCAAGGGACGGTCAGTGGTGGTGGGAGTCAGCCTCCCTGTTGCTCCAAACATCCCTGAAATGACAGAACAGAAGTGGCTGCCTCTGTTTGTAAAGGAGGAGACTAGAGCTCAGCCTGGGAAGGACGGATGCCCGGGTCACGGGGCGGACGGGAGCCGATCCAGGGAGGAGCCAGGCTCCTGACCTCTCCCTGAGCCCTTGCCCCGGAGGCAGAGAGCAAAGCGGAGCCTGGTGTTGAAGACCCGCCGGTCCAGCACAGCGGGCGGTCATGGCGCGGTGCAGAGCTGGTCGGCGGGAGAGGCAGTGTCCTTCCTTAAGTGAGGAAGTCCATTTCCAGGGCGAGATGCGCTTTCAGCAGACAGCAGAGAGCCTCAGCTGAGCTCTGAGGCCCAAGTAGAAATTCAGATTGTTGGAGGGAACCCAAGCAAGTCCCATTGGTTCTCCGAGCCTCAGTGTTACCGTCTGTAAAATGGCGCCAATGCTGCGTCTCTCTCTTTTCCTCCTGGGAGCGCGGCAGAAGGGAGACTGTAGAGCGGTGAGGCTGGGGGCGCGGCCTCGTGGAGCAGGGAGACATGACCGCGCCGTGCAGAGAGGATCGGCTCGGGTCAGGAGGCTCTGACTGTGGCTTGCTGCCTGCACGCCTGCTCCTTCGTGTCACTGCGCCTTGCTGTTCCTCTCACCCCGCTTTGTAACAGGGAGTTCGGTGGGTTTCCAAGTCCCTTCCAGCAACACTAACGCTTTCCTTGAAGACTGCTGTTAAGGTTTAGCTGGGTTTTGGCTTCTAGCTCACTTCCCCGAGCCAGCCCCCCTTACCCCGGAGAGAGAGAGCGCGCGCCCCTTCACTGGCGACACTGTTACCATCTTCGCTCCCTGATTCCTTTCGTCATGGTTTGCTAACCTGCTCAAAGCCAGTTTCACCCTGAGTGGCAGGGCGATCTCTGTCTGCAGGGATCTTTCTAAACCCTGGGGCCAGCGGAGCGTGAACTGCCCCCAGACAGCGGAAGCGCGTCCTGTGCGGGGGGCGTTAGTGCTGCTCCTGTAGGTGGAAGGAGAATAGTGAGGCCTGGAGGCTGATGGGCAGACCTGGTGACTCTAGAAGGCACTTTTTTTTTCTTCTTCATTTAGTTGCTTATTTACTGACTGTGCTGGGCCTTTGTTGCTGCTGGAGCGGCTTCTCTCCTTGCAGACCTTGCGCTCCAGTAGCTGCAGCGCGGGGTCAGCATTGCGACTCCCTGGCTTCTAGAACACAGGCTCCGTAGAGGCGGTGCGCAGGCTTCGTTGCTCTGAGGCCTGCGGGATCTTCTGGGTCAGGGGTGGAACCTGTGTCTCCGGAGGCATTGGCAGTGGATTGTTCACCCCGGAGCCACTGGAGCCCTGTCGTGGCGTTTGTGATGGTCAGAGCTGCCCAAGGCGGGGCCAGGCCGGTGGGGCCTGGGAGGAAGGCTTGGTGGGGTATGGACTGTTGTAGGAATTTGAGCCCTTCTTGGAGAGGTGGGCAGCCCGGGAGGACGTTCAAAGTCTCCATCAACCCTGAGGGTGTGTGTTTCTAAAAGTGCTTCACTGGGAGCCTGTTCCAAGCACTCTGGAACCCAAGGTCTCAGAGTTGGTGTAAAGTGGACCACCGCACCCTCCCCTCAGGGTCACTGAGGGTGAAATGAGATAATCCCTGATAATCACCCATCTCAGTCAACTCAAGTTCCCCAGACGGACGGGCTGGGAGCAGCACGTCCCTGAAGGGCGCCCCTTCCTGCTGCCGCGGTCACCGGCTGCAACTCATCCGCCTCTTGCCCTTTTCCTCCGGGCAGGCCGGCCCAGAAGCCTGCCCTTTGGTGACGTCAGGATGGCCGGGAGCTGTGGTGCCCACACCCAGCCTGTCTCTCCAGGCGGTTCCTGCTGAGGTCTCCGCCGCTGAACTTTGGATCTGCTGAGGCCAGACCCTTCCCGTCCCGCAGCCTCTTGCCCTGCCCTGTTCAGCCAGCACCTTCTCTGTCCCCGCCCTCCCAGAAGCGCTGGGGCGGGGGTGGGGATTGACGCTGACGGACACACATTGCTGGGCCTTGGGGATCACAGCGAGGGAGGCACCCGATGAACAGACCCATGATCCCGTCCTTGGGACAGAAAGAACACCTGCAAGACCCCATGGGCCAGTCCCTGGCGCTGGGGCTTTAGGGCCTGGGGGCTCTTCCCAGAAGTGATGCTTCTGCTCGGGTCCTTGTTGAGACTAAAATCTACTTGTCAGAGGCTGGAGAGGCTCCTTAGTAGAAAGGCAAAGATCCTGGAATTTCTCACCCATTCTCCCTTTGGGCTTCACGGAGACACCATGATTGGTGCCTTTTGACCTCTGCCTATCTCGTGAACTGCTGGGCATCCTGAGACGTAGAGTTTTTTATTTTTATTTTTGGCCATGCTACAAGGCGTGTGAGATCTTATGAATAATAGATCCCCCACGGGGGATCAAACCCAGGTCACAGCAGTGACAGCACCAGGTCTTAACCCCTGGACTGCCAGGGGATCTAGGCAGAGTTCTTATACAAAGTCCTGGTCTGAAAGAACACGTGGTCGTATAGGGAAAACAAAGGAATATGGTCCCTGAAAGGCGAGCCTCCAGCATCAAATGGAAACAGTGGCAGCCTTTATTTTCCTGGGCTCCAAAATCACTGTGGACAGTGACTGCAGCCATGAACTTTAAAGATGCTCGCTCCTTGGAAGATAAGCTATGACCAACCTAGAGAGCATATTAAAAAGCAGACATCACTTTGCTGACAGAGGTTCTTATAGTTGAAGCTATGGTTTTTCCAGTGGTCATGTATGGATGTGAGAGTTAGACCATATGGAAGGCTGAGCGCTGAAGAATTGATGCTTTTGAACTGTGGTGTTGGAGAAGACTCTTGAGAGTCCCTCGGACTGCAAGGAGATCCAACCAGTCCATCCTAAAGGAGATCAGTCCTGGGTGTTCATTGAAGGACTGATGCTGAAGCTGAAACTCCAGTACTTTGGCCAGCTGCTGCGAAGAACTGACTCCTTGGAAAAGACCCTGACACTGGGAAAGATTGAAGGCGGGAGGAGAAGGGAACGACAGAGGATGAGCTGGCTGGATGGCATCACTGACTCAATGGACATGAGTTTGAGTAAGCTCTGGGAGTTGGTGATGGACAGGGAGGCCTGGCGTGCTGCGATTCATGGGGTCACAAAGAGTTGGACACGACGGAGCGACTGAACAGCAACATGAGAGTCGGTCATGCTCACAGAGGCAGCCATGTGCGGAACGGAGGTCGTGGACTTTGGACATGTGCCCAGAGAGCTGGAAACTTCTTGGGGTTTACCGGGTCCTCCAGAGAGCCAGTAAGGACGCGCTACTGAAATCGACTCCTGAGGTGCTAAAGACCAGACCGACTCATTCGCTCTCTGTTTGGTCTTGTGTCCTGCAGGGCTTGTCCCTGGCCTCCTTCCGCATTTGGAGGTTCCCCACACGAGTTCCCCAGGAGTGTGGTCACAGCCATCAGAACAGGGGGCCGTGCTTCCCCTTTGAGGGTTTCTAATGGCTGGGGTTCTTTCCTGCCTCCCTATCTCCCTGGCTGGATTCGCTCCCTGGGAGAGCTGTCCTGGAGTTGGGAGCGCTGTCCTGGAGTTGGGAGCGCTGTCTTGGAGTTGGGAGCACTGGCCCGGGGTTGGGAGAGCTGGTCCCCGGTTGGGAGAGCTGGTCCCGGGTTGGGAGAGCTGTCGGGGTGAGCAGACG